TATATTATATTATATTATTATATATATATATATTTTTTTAATTTTTTTTTTTTTGGTTTTCTTCTCTCTCTATAACTATTTTTCAATCTCATTTATACCACCTATATCCCAAGTCTAAATGCCAAAAAAAAAAAAGAGAAAGAAGATTAACATAAATGTCAAAAGAGGGAATCATAACTTTGAGAGGGTAAGTTTAGGGATAGTGTGGTTTATAATAGGGAAAAATAATAAATATACCTCGAGCTATCGTAAATGATATGCAGATAACCCTTTGTCATATTTTTGGGATATTGGTGTCTTTGTCGTCTGAAAACTAGAGCATATATGTCGTTACTCTAACGGAATGCTAAATAGGGACAAGTGACACAATTTTATCTGTCGATTCGATATTTAATAAATGTCGGATCGGTGGATAAGATTATGATATGTGTATGTCCATTAGTATAAAAGGTATATATGCTCTAGTTTTTGGACGACGGGAGCACCAATATCCCAAAAATATGACAACGAGTATTTGCATACCATTTACGACAGTTTAAAGGTATATTTATCTCTTTTTTTTCATTTATAATATATAACTACAGGGGGAGTATATATAATGAAATGAATTAGTTAGTGGAGAATATAATTCAAGGATTATAATGTAAAGATTGAAAAAAATGAAAAGGTAATTAATTATCAAAAAAGGGAAAAAAACTTTTAAAGATTATGTTTAGGGATGATATGATTTATCATTTGATTATAAAAGAGTATAATTTATAAAATAAATAAATTATTTTTAATAATACATAAATAAATATTATTATATGGTGAATACTAATTTAAGGATTGTTATATAGAGATTAGGGGACATTAACTATACAAATTGTATAATGAAATAAATTGTTTATGTGGTGAATAATGATTTAGAAATAATTATTATCATTAAGAGATTGTAAAACTAAAAAAACAATTAATAACCAAAAGAGGTTGGGGACTTAAACTTTTTAAATTTTTTTTAGGGGTAGTATGATTTACGATTTAATTATACGCAGTATAATAATATAATGATATAAATTGTAAAAATTATTAATGAATTCTAAATAGACAAAATAATTATAACTACAATTAACTTAAAGCTCGATATATTCTTGAAAAATAGGTAGCATTTTTTTGTTTTATCATAATTTTCTCATATATTTTTTGTATGTTTTAAATCAATTTTGAGGCAAATATAAGTTAATCAATTTTATAGCAAAAGTTGATGACTTAAAAACAATTTTCCTATTAAAATTAATTTTTTTTTACAAAATTTGCACAAAAGGATTTCTTTTTTAAAAAAATTCTCAAAAGGGGAAGAGGTGGAAGTAGAGGAAGGGACCATCAAAGTGAGATATATGATAAATTTTTTTATCCTTAATTATAAATTTTAGGTTCGAGTTTTGAAAATTAAAATAATTCTCATACGAAACGAGTTTTCTTTAAATGAGCTTATACAATACAAATTTCAGCTAATTTATGCAACACTCTAATAAATAAATAAAAATTGCGACGTTATTTAGCATCAACAATATAATTTTCGCTATATTATATATATCGACAACAATAAATATACATATTTATTATCAACACTCCATATAAAAATCGTTTAAGGCTTAGCTACTTCGAAAACAATGACATTTACTCAATTGTCGCTAAACAAGAAAACTTTTCATCATTTTATTTTCTTGTCAATTTTAAATTGTG